CTTCGATCTTCAAGGTTTTGCCCACGGATTCAGCCGTACCTAAGGATCCCTGAAACTCCAGTATGATACACAACCCGACCAGCGGTAATTCCTCGTTGCCACCCAAACTATCTTCAGACGCATCCATGGTCCTGATTTCACCACCATCATCAACAATTTCATCCTCAACCAACAATAGAACCCTCAATTTACCTTCCGGACATTTGTGAGCTGGACCGAAAGCCTGACCACAATGAAAGCATAAACCCTTCTTTCAACGATCCTCCCATTCAGGACGAGTAAGAGAACGAAAACCTCTATTCTGATTTCCTACGGTTGACGAATCGGAGAATGAGATTGGATTTAGGTCGTGTAAAGGAAACAGATCGATTGGGTTCCGATCGATTGGACTTTAATCGTGATGTTGAGCCTTTGTCATTAAGCCCAGTACTAACAGGTCCTTTAAAATTAGGCCGGCCCGAGGAATGCTTCAGATCTGGTCGTAAAGTCGATCCAGAACCACTCTCATTGCTTTGATAGCGAAAACGAGACTCGAAAACACTAATCACAGACGGACACAACATTTCCTCAACGTGTTTGGCCAAATACATGGCTTCCAAACGAGATTGAGGACGATGAAGTCGCACCCAACGTTTTACCTTATCGCGTAAACCCGCGATGAAGTATCCCAAGGCTTGGGACTCCGGTAAACGAGGAACTAATAACAATTGATATTCAAAATCTTCGATATATTCATGTATGGAATTTACCTGTTGAACCGTTGCCAATTGCTTATAAGGATTTTGAATCTCCAAACTACCGAAGCGTTGTAGGAGCTCTTTGGTAAATGATCCCACGATAATGGCACATAAATCTCCCTCATGATGGTAAACCAGTGTTGAGCGGCCCCTACCATGCTCAATTGCGCCAGATGGATACTTAGTTGTGGAGAAATCCCATGGATCTCAAAGTAGAGTTCCGCCTTTTTGATCCATCCTTGAGGATTGAAACCAAAAAACTCAGGCAACTTCACCTTCTTTGCTGCCCAAGAAAGGTGATCGTTTGATAATTGCTCCCCTCCCTTATCAAAGGAAAAGTTGGATTTCTTTTGAGAGAAGAAATCCAATTGATCCTCCTCATAAATACCAGATCGTTCACAGTATCAATACCCGATGGCTTACCTTGTTGTTTCACCCAATTCATCACGAATTTGCTAAACTCAGCATGTTCCACTTGATCCGATTCCACAGAATGTATTGCCGATTTGATCCCAGTCACATCTGATTGAAGTTTCTGAATCTATTCCTCATGATGATCCAGTGGAGCTTGTTGAGAACGAGTTTCCACGGAGAATTCCGACAGATCAATGGTAGGTCGGACCAATGATAAGAACTCAAACAATTTGGAAGAATGAAAGAGTTAAAAGGCAAGGGAAATCAACAATTGATTATAAACGAATCGAAACTCACAGTTGAAAGAACAAACACGACTCCAGGGAAAACTTCCCTCCCTCAAAGCCACAGCTAAGAGCCTAACTCAATTAACAAGAAAAATCACAATGACCTCATGCTACCAGCATTCCCGCCATTTATTAGACACGCTTTCAATCTGTAATAGTTAATTGGGCCCAACCCTATCTTCCACTCCTTTGGGCCATCTGGAATAAACATTCAACACTTTGGGCTTGGGTAACGATGGGATCAGATTAGAAGGATACGTATCATACACATTGAAAACTAACTTCCTGAAAAATCAAATAGAAGCTTGAGTTGGAAGAAAATTCAAGTAACCATAATAATACCAGAAAGTTCGGGCCAACAAGGTTTTGTTGTGGCAAAAAGTACTGCTGTTGTTTATGAAGCATGTATACGGTCTGCTGTACCACACATAATATAAAATCCCACGGCTGGACTTCGACCATTTTTGTTGGAACCTCTATTCTTTCTCAAGGGCTCTTTTGGAGGGTAACTTAATGGCGTTTCACATATTCTCACATGGCATCAAAGCCAAGGTCTACCACTCTAAGGATTCAACACTCTGGGACAATCTATGCCTATCTAGCATCCGTTGGAAAGGGAGTCCTACATCGGCTAGACTTGGACCATTTCTCCCCTTGTATGTTGGAGTGTCCCTTCTCTCCTCAACGACTCTTTTGGGGAGTAATTTGATGGAATTATATATTCTCACATGGTATCAGAGCCAAGGTCTGCCATCTGGGACATCTTTGCCAATGACTCGACGCTCTGAGACATATTTGCCTGTGTAGCCTCTGTTAGAGGGGACGTTTTTAGTCCCACTTCGTCTAGATTTGGACACTTTCTATTTAATTTATGTTGGAACCCCCCCTTCTCTCCTCAAGGGCTTTCCGGAGAGTAATCTTATAGGGTCCAAACTTTCTCATATATTGTCTTGGCTCTATTCCAGATTTAGCAATAACGGTTCACTTGGGTCCATGATATCTTCAATATTGTGCCATGACCACATATACAATAAACCCTGTCAACCACATAACACTGCTAGGGATGTTGCAATGTGAAAAGGAGTGGGGATATCAGACCCCTATGGTTCAATTAAAGCATTAAGGGGAGAGAAAAGTGGTCAATGATAGCATCTGTTGACAGTGGGCAACTAGGAATGGTTTCTAGGTACCAGGAGCGATCTGAGCTCTGACACCATGAAAAAGGGAAGGGTCTTTTAGGAATTTTGTTCACATATAGAGAGAGAGAGAGAGAGAGAGAGAGAGAGAGATAACTAAAAGGGAAAGTGGTGTAAGGGTTTCAAGATCATCAAATCAAACTAGAAACAATCCCAGAGGTCATAAAAATACCGAGATCCAAGTGTAAGTTCAACTACAAACAACAAATGCGAAATATTTTGGGTATAGCAAAAGGTATATGGATATCCAAGCTTACTACACCAACCAATGCTCAAATCCAAGGCAATATAACCGTAAACTAGCAAATGTAGCAAATCAAGTAAAGAGACACGAGATTTACGTGGCTCCACTACGGTGAGGTAGTGCACGTCCACCCGGAGACGGACAATATAATGTCTTAATTAACCATATTCTATCACCTATAAAAAGAATCTTCTCTAAAAGTTTAACACTAAGATAAGACTGATGTTCCTAAACTGCTCTTCCTTCATTATAGATCATTTGGTTAAATTTTATTTAATAAAGTGTAACCTTCTGCCAAATTATCTTTTCTCTGGATAAAGGGAATAGTCTAACCATCTACACAATTTTAATACTATCAAGGGATAATATACAAAAGAGGCCACTGAAGTTTGTAAGAGGTGTCAAATAGGCCACCCAACTTTCAATTTGATGTCATTTATATGAAAATGGCCAAAAAAGACAAAATACTTTAAATTTGTTTTGTGGTCAAGACATAAAACCATGAACTTTCATGGCCACAAGTATAGAAAATAAACTTTGAAAGAAAAAAAATACCAGGGGAGAGGACAAGGTCAAAAAGGCGTGAGGCATGGTGTGGCGACGAAGTCAAACCTCAAGCCTTACACACCACGGCAAGGATGTGGCGTTTTTCAAGGCGTGACATATATGGTAAATTTGTATATCATGTATAGAATTTATATATATAGATATTTGTTTTTTATATATTATCTAATCAGATAATGATATTAAAAAATGTACATTCATATTAGAAGAAGAAAAATCATATAAATTATTGTTATAAAAATAGGTTTTTGATTAAATATTTAAAAATAGAGCTTAGAAAGGTAATTTTACAACTTGATGTTAATCGTGAGTCCATAACGTTTATGAATTTGTGAAACTGTGAGGGACGTGATTAGTTAAATGTATAAAAGTGTAAAATCTAAAGTTAAAACTTAAAAGTGTAAAAACACAAAAAGATAAAAAAAATAAAAGAAATAAAAAAGAATATTTTTTTTTTGAAAAAAATCACGTCTTACAAAAATCACGCGCCGTGGCGTGAGGCACACCTTACAGAAACGCTATAAGCCATGGGCCACCTTTTTGAACACTGGGAGGGGAAGGACCGTTATTGCCGGTGGTGTGGATGATAGCGGGTTGGATAGCATATGGGCTATGGCTCCTGTTGTATAAGCTGTACAGAGCAGGTCTTTTTGCTCAAGTAATAATTTTCAAAGTTTAAGTTAATTCTTAAGTAAGCCTTCAATTTTTGCAAAAATACACCTAAACTTTGTATGACCTCTCATTATAAAGGTTTATACTTGAAAGTAATTGAAGGGTAAGGTGATCATTTTATGCAAGGTGGCCTATTTAACACCTTCTGTTAATGTAATTCTCAAGCTCAGTTGCAGATTGACACTGAGAACTTCGAAATCAACTAAACCCATGGTCATGCCATGTTTGACAACATAGGCTACAAGCCATTTTGGGAAGACTGCATTTTTGGTTTGTGAGCGAGTATAAGAAGATGAAATTACCTTCCTTTAGTGAATGGCAATATAAGGTTTGAAAAAGGATAAAGAAGCACTCCAAAAAATAGTAGATCAATCACACATGCCTCCATATTTGGACATTGATTCACAAAGGATAATATATGGAAGTTATTAGGGCTAGTTTGTTACATTGAACTCGGAGTGATACAGTCTAGTAAAGTGTGCACATCTTAGTCCTACCAAGTTCGACATCTATGTTTAACATGCGAATAGTATAGATGGTAAAATAGAATCAATAGAGAATTTCTAATCATCATCATCATAGGAAAAGTATGTCAAAATGAGACATTCTAAGGGGGAGAAGGGGACAGTGATAGATCCTAATCTAGGATCAACATAAAAACAATGATTACTTTGCATGCCATTTTGTCCTCATTGCCGTGGGCATAATTTATCAGATAAAGCCTCATGATCGTTAGTTTAGAGAAATTGATAGTTCAATGGTCCCATTTTAGCATCCTAGCCTGTATCTACTTCCCTGCTCAAGTTAGTTCAACCTCCCCGTCCCCCATAATGAGACTTCTCACCCACATACACAGAGAGGGATAGATAGATAGATAGATAGATACCTTTAAAAGTGCTGCAGCTTGTTGATCCCTCCAGCAAGATTTCCTCCAGCACCATCAGTCATAACATTAAGAGCACATTTCATGTAATACAGCAATTCCCAACCTTGACGCAACAGGCAGGTCTTATATTGGGTCCCCGTCCTGATCAAGAAAAACTTTTGAGTGATTAACTATACAGATTCCATGGTTGTTAAAGTTCCTGAACTCTAAATCTAAAAACTGGCATCAAAGTGAGTCATAATTGAAGGTATTTGTGCAGTAGTATTTATAGACCAGAAATAGGCACACAATATGCTCGAGTTAAGAAATACAGTTACTAACCCTCAAGAGATAACTTAAACTTGGAACTCCATACAAACTTAGGGAGATATAATACAAACTATACAAGTACATAAAAATACAATATTAGAAAATTTTAGCTTCATTGACTGAAAAGGTCATCATTGCATGTGATATAACGAATGAGGACATCAAATTTACAACAAAAATAATCACATGGTACTGGCAAGAACACAGCATTATATATCTACAAACATCATGCAAGCAAATCAGAACAGTGAAACCGTAGAAATTGCATACCATCTCATTAACTTGAAATCGACTTTTAGGAATAGAAAAAAAATAATACACAACAATAACTTTATGTCATTACAAAGAAAGAGCAGGAACAAATATAATCAGTGAGAAAGCAACCAGTTGGTAGTTTTTCGATTCCCAGAAACTATCAGCAATCACTGCTTTTTTAAAGCTTGCTATCATAAGAGTACTAGCCTTGTCTACTGCAAAGACGTTACAAGGGTAAATCAATCTTCTAGAAAATCATTACTACTGACCACTTCCTGCCTAAGTTAATTCAACATCCAGCTGTAGGATTAAACGCCTCATGTTGGCTTGGGTTGGAAAGACACTCAAATAATTGATACATCACTTTCCTGTAGTGGAGAAAACTTCTGACCAGTCCCTTTCTTCCATGTCTCCAATTATGCTCCAATAACTATAACAAAAGATAAGCAAATGAGTAGGCTTGTATTGATTTATTCACATTTAGTCTGAATAAGTTCCACAAGCTTATTGCTACAACAAACTGTGAGTTGTTACTGCCAAAGCCTTTTAAAGCAAATAAAGAACAACAACTAGCAACTATGCTCTTTCTGAACAAAAAAAGTGCACATATAAACTTCTATGTGGTTTGTAATTGTACCTTTCCTCTCTTCCTACAATCCAGATTACACAATTCTGGTGCTCAAAAGGTAACTCCACATGCACCATAACTCTTGTTTTCTTCCATCCATTGATTGGGAGAAGAGAGAAGAAAGGTGGTAGTTAATTCGCTTCACATTGCAGACAGTTGGGACTTGGGAGGATTGGTATTAGTCTGCTAAGCTGCAACAGAAAGTGTTTCTTCGTCAAATTATAAAAATGTTTGCAAGCATACTTCTTGTGCGGCAGAGAGAGTGTATTGTTTATAAAAGTTAGCAAGTTAAATTGATATACTCCCTATTCCCCTGATTACTGGTGAGGGTCTAAATTCACCTTGTAGAAGTCAAGGGCATTTGTAGGTGTCTTGCTTCCTATTTTCTGCATACCAGACAGATGACAATTCCAGGTCCTTTTGACCGAAGTGAATCTTAACCTCTGAAAAATTGTATGTCTCTGGTGCATGGACTTAAGATACCACAAATGAAGTTTTTGGTAAAGGTTCCCAATGACGAGAGAAAATTGACACTTGTTTAGGAACTTAAACACATTAAGCTAGAATTTTATAGAAGAATAAAAATGCTTCGCTGAGGACAAGAAATGTGTTTCGAGATATATTTTCCATCATTAACTTTAAGGGGTGACTTGGAGACAAATATCTATGTTATGAATCCATATGCAACTTTAGTAATGAACTTAAAGATTAACTGCAGAATTGTGGTATTTATATGGCAAAGAAACAGCAACACTAACAAAGATTTGTGAAGTTACCAGCAAAATCTCGAGTTGGAGAACCATCTTTAACAACAATGGACTTATCTTGATATGAAGTTTTTCCTTTATTACTTGCAGAAATTTCAGGTGGCTTTGCGGTTTTCATCATGTTTTGGTAGCAACATACTATTTTTTGGTCTAGCTCATAATAATACAACATTTTCTTCAAAGGTTTCATATCCAGATCAATAAAAGATACCTGCAGAAACATGAAGATTATGTTTACTGATCCATACCTGAAATATTTCGACTCAACTTGTGAAACCAGAAGGTATTTGAATAAGACAGTAACCCAAAATTAACTCAACACCAGGTGAGATTTGCCGAAATGCTGGTACCCAACTAAAATTATTACTATACCCAGAAACTACTGGTACCCAACTAAAAAGACAGTAGAGCATGCTGTTTATGAAAACAACTACAAGATGCTGAATCTTTCTATTAGGTCGACTACAGTAGTATAATGCGCACGCAACTACATCCCCAGCAAGTCCGTCTTCTCGGCTGACATGACAGCTGAATGGATCGATGATTTCCAAAAATGCCACACGCTCGTTATGATTTCTTTTAAGGCAATATATTTCCCCGGTATAAGATGATGAAAATTAGAATAACAATATTAATGCTTATCTGAATATGCTCATTTCTCGAACCTGCAAGCTGTGGCGAGTCTTTCCTTGTGTTTTATAATATTAGGGAGAAAAATATATGAATGACTTACAAGAGATAGTAAGTTATTAAAATTAATATATGAATGCAAAAATTGACCAATTCAACAGATGCATAAAATGCAGTAGACTTTCCAAATGTTCTTGTACCAGTTGTTTGTCTCTTCTAGATATTGTAAGAATCATAGAAATAACATTATCACCATTCAAATATTCAATAGGCTAGAGGCAAATGAATGTACTAATATATTTGCCAGAGGCTTGCCTCTTTCCAAAAAAGAACTAGTGTTGCCAAACTTTACCATGGGCTCATGAATGCACACCTTTAGCCAACTTGATTCTCGAATCTCCTTTAACGGAAGAAATAGAAGCTCAAGAAGGAAACCATAAAACCAGAGACCAAAGCAAGGCTCGACAAAACAGAAAGTATCATAGTATGGTAAAACCGTAAAAGTATGTATAGGTAACATTCTCAGAATAACAAAACTGCCACTATCTAATGTCACACAGAAAAGGGAAAGAAAAAGGGCCTTCAAAGGCATCTAATGTTGCTTACCTTATAATCAAAACTTTGGCCAGTTGACTCATGAAAAATGACATTATATGGAGATCGTGGGTCCCCTTTGTCTCTTGTTCGAAAACTGATCATGAGACTCAAGTCTTTTGCAGTTGCAGCGATCAGATACTCCCTCACAATCTTCAAACTTCCATCCAACAGCAGTGAATGCAAAGAACTGTATCTACCTGATAGTCTGTCTTCACCCAACTCTCTACAAATCTCACAGGACTGAGAAACAACATCATAATATGCATGAATTGCCCCTTCTATGTCAAAAACATCAAGCTTCTGAACTTCAAGAAGCTGATCCAGTAATCCTGATCTAAAAATAGCCTCAGAAACAAGTTGCAGAAAGCATGTTGTACGCATGCCATCATCAGCCTCGATAACAAACTTCAATGCATCTTCAAATGCTTTATCGTTATTGACGTTAGTTCTGTATTTCCCGCCACCTAAGCTCCCAAACACAAGGGAACCATTCAAGAACACCCGGAAATTGTTCTGGGGGGTCGAAAAGAGGTCTTTAATTGATTTCAGTATTCTTTCCTTGGATCCAGAGAATATATCCAATGGATCATATTGACTTAATTGTGATATCTGAGGTTAAAGCCACAAATTAGAAAGCCACTATCATCATGCAGAGGTTTACAATCTAGTTGTCAACATAAAAACTAAACAATAGAGAGTAGAAAACCTTCTTTTGTTGCAATTTGAGGCTCTGGTGTAGCTTGAAACGTGTCATAGTCCTTTTGATTGCATGCGCTTCTAAAATATATCTTGAACAAGGAAGAAATCCACACTTAGGCTGCTTTAGAGAAAAGCAACAAAGTCAGACAATATACTATAAGAAACATATAGGGAAAAGACTTGAGTTATGTGTGTGCGAAGACCTCTTCCACAATCCCTATTTCATCCCATAGGATAGCTCAAAACTACCACCTATTTGTATATAGGGAGGTCGTTCTTTTGCTTCTTAACGAATCATGGGAGCTTGAAAATGACGGGATCATGCATTAAGGGAATGTGAAGTACGTCACACTCACAAAGGAAAGCAAAAGCAACAGCGCTCATCAGCTCATGTGTAAGCTTTTGTTACATGTAGATGTAGACCCCTTTTTTATCACTCATTCATGACAACCCTTTAAAAAAATACGCATACGCTTCACAATGGCCGTGTCTTCATCTTCTTCAACCATAATTTATACCGGAAAGAAAATCCATGTGGTACAATTTCCATTTTGAATTGTCAAGAGTATATTGGTTATTTTAGACTCCCATTTTGTGCAGGAATAACATTTTTAACCAGTGATTGAAGTTGGCTATCTATCACACCCCTACTTGCTACTCGCTCGAGGGAGTGACAGCATGTCAACATGACTTATCTTATAAACATAAATCGATCTCGAAACACCGAACATATGCAGTAGAAGTCTTTACATACTAAATTGGAACTGAAATAAACTAAATGACTTGACGTTGACAATTCTAAATACAACTGGTCCCAAACATACTGACAATTAAATAACCTGAAATAAATGAAATAACTCAAACTTGTTAGATCATTGCACCAATAAAACTTTGCCTAGTACTTGACAAGACAGTCTAGACCTTCTCTTTTCCCTTGCCATACATGCTGCTAGTAAGCTAATAAGCTTAGTGAATTCATGGTTCTCATGTTAGAACAGTTTCGAAACATATTATGTAAAATAATGTCATAGACACCAACATGTCTTTCATGCTAATAACACCGGAAAATGTGCATGTAAAACATACATAATACTAATCAGAACAATTTCGTAAAGCACTTATGCCTATACTAGAACACAGCTGAAAACATACTTACATACATGCACACACACAAATACACAAATAAACGGTAAGAAGAGCTCTATGTTGATTAACATGGTAGGGAAACACCTTCTACACTAATGTGACATAATACAAAGGCCCTCATAATGTATACTAGTCCTAACTGAACAACACCAACGTCTCGGTTTGTGTTCCCACACATACTAAAAATATTGATGTTTCATGTATAACATAGCTTATGTATTGAAACATTGTAGGCATGCTAAACAGCTATGTTGTTATATCGGTCAGAATACAAAATATCGGTCAGGACCGATATTCGATATATCGNAATAGCGGTTAACATAATATTTCTTAGAATTATATATATAATATGCATTAATTAGAGTTTAGAAATATAGTTTCAAAATTAAAACATCACATCATCTAAAGTGTTCAAAAACGAGCTAATCGCAAGCAATAGGTTCGGCATCCGAGAAAAGAAGCCAAACCGTGACTCCGTGAGAAGTCTGAAAAGTCGTGATTCGTGAAGTGAACTAGGTGTCTGTGAAGTGTGAAGTCGTAACTCGTAAAGATGAAAATAAAGGAAGAAGACCATTGGAAGGCAGACTATTAATTTCAGACCTAATAATATATGTTACCAAGTCCAAAAAACTAAGCCCATGAAATAACAAAATCCCAAATAATTGAACCCTAAAAATCGATACATCGGTCCGATATATACATCAAAATATCGCTAAATATCGGGAAAAATCGGAAAATATCGCCGATAATATCGGGGACGATATTTTGACCGATATTTATGCAGCGATATTTTGCCTAGGTCCGATATCCGATATATCGCCGATATATCGCGATATTAACAGCATAGCTAAACAGTTCCAAAACATGTGAAACACTTAACATGCAATCACTTGAAAACATATACAGACATGTATCCCATTTTATGTTGGGTTTTTGAACTGAACTAAATTAATACGGGCACCTATACATAGCATGTATACCGAGCGTCTAAACAAGCTATTGAACACTGACACTAACTTATATAGTGAATATGGACTAGTGAGCTACAACAACCTCAAAAAAATTGTTACGATGATGATAAAAGGGGTAACTAAGAGCATGCCTTCGATCCAGCGTGGCGTTTTCGCCAAACGGTCTTTGCCAGTAGTGCCTCCTAGCTTGATCTCAAGTCTTATACATTAATTAAGCAACCTTGAGATTTGATAAAAGAAAGGTCGTTACAGCCAACATGGGTCAGCAAAACTTGCTACCCGACTTATAAGTTAAGTAGCTTTCAACCTCAGATTGGTCGAATGCGAGTTTAGGTTACCTGCTTGCAGCTCGCCAACCAATTAGCCTGCACTTCATCTTCGCGACAACGCCATGCGACTTTAGCAAGTCACATGTGGCATACTGAGAGTTGACTGATTCGGCGTCCAGTCGATTTTTAGGCCATTTCCATTTTTCATGATTCTTATTGCATAACGACACTTATAACATGCATATCTCTCACATATCATCCTTATACAACGTATACTAGATCATTCATGCTCAAAAACGAGCCTTTCCTCAATGATTATGCTAAGCACCATTAATGAGTCAACTTTTATCAATTCAATGGCTTTAAAGCATCACATTCATCATAATTCATAAAATTGAGAGTAATCACTTCTATAACATGTTGGCTGCTAAAGCAGCACTAAAACATAACTTTTACACATAATAACTAATTTCGTCCTTGAACTTGCTGCTGCTACTTCTGCTTTGGTCTTCCTTCAAGAACACACCAAATCACACTTAACAGTTCTATTTTTTGCTGGGTTTTTCTTCCAATCTCGTGAGAAATCTTATGAGAGGGTAAAACCCACTGCTCTCCCTGATATTGATTAAGAATTTTAAGTTATACTCATCTTCTTCAACCAATGCCTACAATCAAGGACTCCCATGAAAACAAGTTTCATTAAAAGTGTTTGAAACTATTACAATCAATTCCACCACTTTCAGTTAATGCCACATTAGCCCATGGACTCGAATTTCCATACACAACAAGCCCCTCACTTTGATATATGTTTCAAACAGGCCCAACTCCGGGGTGGTACATTATCTAGATCTTTAGTAGGTATGAAGGAGCTACATTATACAGAAACTGTATAGTAGTATTTAAGGTATTTCTCAACATGAAAAGTGCTCAAGGAAGATGTACTCCACTCACAGCATATAGACCCCACTAAATGTATGTGGCTTGTAAATAGGAAGTCATCTTCATCAAGTATACTCCTTGGTGACACCCTCAAAAACTATTTTGTCACTAGATATTTTGTATATGTACATATATAAGGTAAGCGTCTTTGTATGAGAACAGAAGTGCAAAAAGCAAAGAGAGAACATACAATACTTGTGGAACCAGTTGGGATACCAATGTGTTGGGCATTATCCACGCATATTATTCAAAGTGTGATTACACAAAGGCCACTTGCTATATATATACAAGTATATGTATGCATACAACAATATTCAAAATCTATTACTTTGCTGATGCATGTGTTTGATGATGCTCCAATGGAAAGAATTTGGACAAAAAAGATTACTATAAAGGAATGAATCATGTACCTTAATCTCTACAGATATCGAAAATTCCTCATCACGAAGAGCTGACACACAAAGAGAAAATAAGTAGTTATTATATCAACCTTCAAAACTCCAAAACACACACTTATATATATATATATATATATATATATATATCAACATTATGTGATGATGCTTTGTTCAATCATTATGTGATGATGCTTTGTAGATGATCATGCGCTCCCCTCTACCCCAACCCACAATATCATGGTCATCAAACTTAGAACTTCACTTTCACTACTAATGATTATTGGAAGTTCGTTGCAGTGGCAAGACACCACAAAGGCATAACTCGATTAGCTAACCTATCTGAACTATAACACATTATGATCTAAATGCATCCAGAACACAAATCCTGTGACAAATTCAACGTTTTTTTTTACTGATAAGATCATCGTTTGTTAATTGGTCTTACAGCAATAAACCAATATGGTCCCTTACACCAACCTACGTGCTTAAGTATTTCTTTCGATCTTCCCTACTAAACCATCGCTAAAAAAAACTCCAAGCACCAAATACTTCCCTAAGTAGCTTTGCACTTTTGACTTTTGTGAGTCAATCACATAATGGAAGGTGATTTACACCACCTGCACATTTTGCCACATCTACATTTAGCGAACACCTGTTCCCACCAGCTTTTTAGGCATCTTGGGCACAATAATTACATTACACTAGTCAAGTCATATATTCAGCATGTCGATTCAATTAATTCTCTCCCTACCAATACTCTCATGTGTTTAAAAGATAAGGAGTAATCAAACAAGTTTGCCAATTGCAATTTTTTTGTGCTTACTTTTTCCAGTCATTGCTCTAAACCATGGAGAATGGTGCCAAATGTTTGTTTTTTGATCCACTGTTTACTTGTGTTAAGAGAGCACACTCATCATGTTAAGCCAGTATCACTAAATGAGGACTCATCATACACACTGACATTATGATGTACTAAGTAATATAAGTTCAAGACCTGACATTTAAACAAAAGATCCCACCCTCATGCTGCAAACTCTGACACTTATGTTGATTGATCACTGTGAATTTTACAAAAGACAGAAGAAGAGCCAATATGTACTTCCAAAGTAAATCCATGAAGTTAGTAATTACCCTGAGGAAAAACTGAATGATCAGATATGAGCAGTGCATGATCGCACTGGGCATTGACATCTGCATCATCAACTCTCCATGAAGGACGCCAAGAAAGAGCATCTTTCCGCACTGACTCGAGGAAATCCCTGGATACAAAAATGCGAATCTGCCATGTTTGTGAAACTCAATGTCAAGAATCTTGAGCTAAAATCCAACATATATGAGCAAATCAAATTGTCTTAATCAATGCAAATGCCTTGACTTCATGTTTGAATAGACAAAAAGGCAAGACATCAATGATAAGTTGTAATCAACTGTAACATGTTATTTGCAGGAATTTTGAGGTTCCGTGTGTTGGGAACATCCAAAGCATGCATCAGAAGTCTTGTGAATTGGGCTTATTCATTAATCATTACTCTATCAAAATTGGACATAGACCAAGGCATGATTACTATAAACAAAATTGGACATAGACCAAGGCATGAGTACTAAAAACATAATCTATAACAACAAAATGGGTGATGATGCATGAAAACTTCAGAAACTTATACTGCTATAAACCATAAAATAAACAGAGCACAGAGAACCAAAGCAAGCTTTCTCAATCCTATCTATCAACAAATATTAAATTCAACAATAGCAACAATAACAGTTTTTGAGGATTTGGATCTATACAATTAAGGTCCTGCAGATTTCAATGATACTGTCAAAACATACCCCAGCATCAACATGATTGGGACCTAATAGTGGACCCATTACATGCTGCACGTATAGATGTTCTGCAATTTCCCTTGTTGGAGCCGATAAAAGATCGCAATCTTGTTTCCACAGGAGGCATTCATGTACGGATAAAGCTGAAGATACTTCCTCATAATTGATCCCATTTCTCTTAACTTTTTGTATCCTTAACACTTTCCCAACCTACATAGAGTAGTTAAATTTAACTCAGTTGTTGAGGGGACCAGTCAAAAAGAAGAATTATTTGATTAGTCTATCTACGAGTATTGAGCAACCATACAAAGTTGAATCTATTTTCCTTAACTTTTATCCTGATAAAAGGGTTTCTTCATTTAGTCCTGTAACGCAGAGGGTGTAAGCAATAAATCTAAGAAAATGTCAAAGAGAAAATTGTACGACTTTTATGAAGCATCTAGCTGTAGTTAAGTTTTAACCTCTTCTTCACTTTCCCCCTTTGCCCGTTATAAGTTGTCATGTGTGTGTATGGTTGAAAGGTTTTAACTAAAAACTATTAGAACTTGTCATAACATGGGCGCAGAATCAATAAAAGGAAAAACTTCTTAATCTTTAATTTGATTATTATTGTAATCAGCTCATCAAGGGTTACATATGAAAGCAGTTAGAACCAAAAACTATACCTTCATCTCTTTCTACCTAACATCCATCATTTAAGTGTTCTTTTTTTCTTAATAAAAATTACACAAGAAAGAACATGAATTATTATTTCAACTGTCTTGAATTGGTCTATACTAATCAAAATACTTTTGTAGGGTTCATTCACAATTAGAAATAAGAGCAACCAACTAATAGTTACGATTTCTATTGAGAAATCCAAGTGAAATAGTTTGAAAATTTAGACGAATAACGTAAACATAGAGCGTACAAAACGAGGAGAGGATCCAGTATAAGAGAGAATGAGATTCGCAGCTCCTTCTCCTCTGTAAGTCCAATCGGCCGCATCTTTTGCCTCTAAAATCATTCCGTCATTCGACTGCAGATATATAATGAGAATTAGAAATGGTTGTTACTGAACATTGAGATGAAAGAATTTGGATACCGGAATCTGGAAAAGGTGGAGGAATATGGAATCTAGAGAGTTGAAAACCCCAGCTCCGGCTCAACTGCTACAATACACATGAATGGCGGTGGTGGGGCGTGGAGAGTGATCGTCTCGTCAGTCTCCAGTGAGTCTGCTGCTGATGGTTTTAAGACGTGTGTGTGTGAATAGTAGTCGTATCCAATTACGGTTAAACAGAATTAGGGGTTAGGTTAAATATCGGGACAATTATAAAATCATAAATAGAGTAAACTACAAATTTGGTCCCTGTAGTTTGTCAAAAATAATATTTTCTGTTCTTATAGTTTCGTAACTACAAAATGGCCATCGTCGTTTATAAAAATGTTCGGATAGAGTCCCTTACTCTAACGATCGTTAAAATATTCCGTTAAGTAAGAATTTTTTTCCTCTTTCTTTGCCTTTTACTCTATCAAAATCCACCACGACAAAAATCATAAACTGAATTTTGATTGTATAAAAGACCAAAAAATCGATAAGAGAACGAAAACAGCTCATTTAACGTAACTTTTAACTTTTTATCTTGTTAGCAAAAAAGAATTTTAGTCTAAAATATCACAAACATCTAAATATAAATATAACATTGGATATTAAGGATAAGTATTACGATAAAAATTTGAGTTGAGTTAAATGTAAGAGTTAACAATGACCGTTTGTTTGTACTCATTTCAAATGATATATGGTTTGAATTTTGGACTTCATCCGTCGCTTTAGGTTGAGTTATTTTACCTATTTGGATTATTGGGTTTATTTAGGTGTTTCGTGCTGTAAATCTTGTTATTACAACTTGAAGTCTTTAAGAATTAAGCCAAAACAAATCAAACGACTACTCAAGAGCAGGGTCTGAAAGCGGGATATACCCCGACCGATCCTCTAACTATGTCTCACGAAGACGAGCAAAGAAACTCGAGATCAACTGAGGTTTGGATGGTTTGTCGATAAAAATTGTCAAAAGGCCAAACTCCATGTCATTCTGTATCACCGACAATTGTAAGTTCTTCGTTCACATGTGAACATATGCAGGTCTGATAGAAGATTAGGTGAATGTTAAACACCATTTGGGTAAGCACTTACATGCTACAAGTATCAGCACATTCAGAATGTCAAACCACAACCACCCTATCAAGAATCTCAACAAATATCGATCAAGTCAAACACCACCGCCACATGTTTTTCGGCAATAGCATCTTCTAACTAAAATTATCCTATAACGTACCATATATCCTGTATAATTCACTGAAAGGTAGGATCTACAGAGACATTTCGAACTCGAACCACAAAAACTAGAAAGACCATGGCAGAACTATATAATGCATATATAAATAAGCTTGGGAACTTGCCCAATTTGCAGAAAAGCAATTGTCAATTAACAGCAGACACCCATCATTCTTTCAACTATTCACATATTTACAACATAATACGTACGTAAACTACATCGATAGACCACATTATTTACTAAAGAACCCAGCTTTGCAGACCGATTATTTACAGATTGGATGGATCATCCTGCAACATATAACACAAACACAAAACATGGTTTACTAAAAAGATGGTTTCCCGGACATGGGTCAAGAGTTTGGTACCTGTTTATGCCCAGTTCCTCTTTGATCGGAATTGAGTCAGCTTATCCCTCCATTGAGCTGTGAAAACCAACAAAACAATCAGACCTCTGAAACCACAAACAAAGATGACAGAATTCAAGGGGAGAACTAGCGTTCATGGTTCCTACACAGGACTGGACGACACTGGATGGGCGAGAGTGACGTAGGCAGATGAAAAAATGGTGAAAGATTTTTGGGTTTTAATTCGACACAAGTAGTTTAATGATTTACCGATCTTATCCAACCTCCCTCAATTTTTGTTCCACCTATTTTGGTGGGTAAAAAACACACAGTACTGTATTCAATACTATCGAGGTTGGACGGAGGTGCCTCTTATCGGGCAAGTAGATCAAAGTCAGAGCAGGGAGGGAATGTTTTCAGTTATTACTATAGGCCGAGGAGCGTAGATTCATCTTACTTCTTATAAATGGAAAAGTCCTTTCCCAGTCTAATGTCACACCAAATGTGGGACAAGTTTTTGTTCAATCACATCCCGCATACCAAACAACCCATATATGTCCAAGAAAAGTTATAAAGTTTATTAAGTTTAGACGTTACTAAGAAACCCTATCAATAAGTTCAGCATCCCAGAAGCTGAGATTATTACGCTCAATTAGTCGATTCCCAACAAGTGCATCAAATGAGGCTGGTAGCAGCTATAAACAACTTGGGGATGAACAAATAAAAAATGGCCGATACATACTGCTCTCCATTACAAAAGATCAAGTTCCTGGTGCCAAAAGGGGTCATATTCACTCATGTAATTCACATTTTGAGGATCCTATTTATATGGTGCAAGAATAAATGGACATGTGATTGTGGGTCAATTTTGTTTGACATTTGTAGAACCTTTACATTCCAACAAGGCAAAAGTAAGAAGAGGGTATGAAAACCAACCTGCATCTCTATAGCGTTCCTCAACAGCAGCAATAAGCATGTTTCGTACAAGATTAAACTCCTTCGTTTCAACACAAGGCTGTCCGCTTGGTCTGAAACAGTTGCAATCTTTATCAACGTTTATGCTCTCCACAGTGATATCGAATCAAGAATATAAGTTCGGTCCAAATCATGAAGTACGACATACTGCACTCATGACAACTTGTGCTGGTCCAATTATGTCTGTAAATTATTTTTCGTTGTTTTTTGAATGAAAAAACCAAACCAACCGAAATGATCCCATAGTAACCCGCTGGGGTCTGGGTTTGGGATATACGCAGACCCCATTGAATAGAGTTGGCTGTTTTTTGAATGACAAACTAGCCCCAAGAGATTTTGAAATTGGCCTTCCATGAAAGTCACAACGGGCGACATCTAGAGGTGCACCTACATAACATACAAGTTATTGCAAATTAAATGAAAGGGTGTCTTTTATACCGATCAAGTTCTTTAAATATTAAACCATCTGGAGAACCCTGGAACGAAAGCTTTGCAGATTCAACAACCTTCATCCCATCGCTATAAGCCAAGAACTTGTTCACTTGTATTGGCACCTAAAGGGATATAAATAATAATATAAGCTTTTGTAACAATAATTCAAAGTCAAGATCCAAGAAAACCATGAGCATAAATTAAGACAGTAGCAAATGTCTACTGAACCATTTGCTTTCATAATAACTATACACATAAGAATGAATAAATTCAACATGTGCATTAATTAGCTGTATCTGGAAAACTGGATGTTACTAAGAGGCTGTGTGGTTGGAATTTCACTTAGTCTTGTATGGATAAAGTTGTCTGTGTGGATTCATTTGTCTGTATAGATTGACAAAGTTCTTATTTGGGAGGGTTTTTTCATAGATGGAAGGAGCGTGTTTTTTAATTTGGAGGGGCAGGTTTGGAAGAAACTTGGCTTTCTACATAAAGCTCCCCCCAGAACTTACTGAATAAGCCAAATTCTATATCATTAAGTCACTACCAAGCTGTAATGTATAGTTGACCGAGTAACCTCTTAGTCCTGTTAAGCTCATTAAGCTGCTAACAAACATGCCCAAAGACGGGTATTTGGGGTGTTCAGCTGCAATTCTTCTAAGCAAATAGTGAAAGAAAAATACTTTTTGCTTTTTTTGTTAAAACCAAAAGCCACCTGAACATCACTATGAGCTCTTCTTGATACCATCCTATGTGGTTCATGGAAATAGCTGTCCTCAGTATAGTAGATGGAGCAATTTTTAGATTATTTTATATTAGTTGATGGAAAGATCATGATAAACTTAAATCTTTAAGATTCCTAGGCTATTACATATATTGCTTTCGTTGTTATGTCAAACTATCATAGTTTAATCATATATGAGATCTTTGAATAGAGACTTCACCATCCTAAACATCTTTTGTTCATAGCAGTGTAGTATCCAGATAGTTTGGTCAAGTGAACCAATGTACATTGTTGTCAAAGCACCAACCTGAATCATGGGCTTGTTTCTAATCATTCTTTTCCTGTGGAGTAATTTTCTACATATACTCTTTTTTGGGCCTTAATTTGAGCGCACAAAAAAACATTCTCAGATGCCATATGATAACCACCAAACCAAACCAGAATGGCCCACCCGGAGGTGGGTCTGGTCTGTAGGGTAAGATGTACCCTACCCAAAGAGTAAAGCAGCAGTTTCTGTGAGATGCCATATGATGTCATCTTGAAATGAAGATACACATGCCCTAATGTGGCACACATGACACAATGAACATCGTCAAGACAAGGGGGTTAACTTGCTATGTAGCCAGCGCCAGGACACCAAGCAATGCCATAACAACAATGCTAAAATATTCAAGCTTAGCCATCATAGGACAAAAAATCATTAAGTTGCAAGCGATAATCAGCAAATTACATAAAATACATATGCATAATGGCATATTTGAAGTGAAGAATTGATCAAATATTTATAAATGGTCAGCTACTATGACAGCATACCTTGCACCTCACAGCAATATTGATGGCATCAGATGGACGCAGGTCAAAGCTAACACAGTCATTTTCATCATCTACCTGAGATCAGAATCACCATAATTTCATTTATACAACAGCTTTGAGAAACATTGGTATCTTTGACATGTTACCCATCAAATTGTCGGTCCGTACCTTTGTGAGATACAGTCGAGCAAAATATGCCTCATGTATTCTCTTGGTTACTCGAACAAGCTTGACCTTGAAATAGACAAAACATGATGTAATCAAATAGAAAGGGTCTGTCTAAATCTGTGTTCAAATGAGAACAAGAAAGCATCATTAGTCTTACTTTATAGCCCATCTTATCAATCATCTCTTTCACCACATTATACATAGTTGGCCTAGCCTGAAACACAGACATAACAATTTCAATTTCTCCAAGATGATTTACATGAACAAGCAAGAAGTCTAGAACTTTAATTATTCAACATACAATTTGCACATTCCGCATAGCCGCCATAAGCAATACACTGGGCATCTCCACTGCAAAGAAGGAAAAGCGGATTGAGAACAGCCTTGTATGTAATTCCAGACATCTCTAGGAACTTTACAGGTAACTGAATATATGTGATATGAATACATACAAACGATTATCGGAAGGAGAAGGCCTGTCCCATCTTCCATCTTCAGTACAATTGCAGGATGTGGAGCATAATCAGGCAGATGCCCACCTTGCGGGTTGTTATGAGCACATCTTAAATGCTTTCCATCCCTCATTTTGATCACAAACCCATCAGGGCCACTCTTGACCTCAACTAAAGTAAAAAAAAAACAAATAAACAAAAATCAATTGCAGATACACTAGCTCTTTAGATACCATATAACTAAGAGTTAAGAAAGTATATCACGATTTTAATCATAACATCTTAGCTAAGCATGACTAGATATCAAATTGATGGAGAAGTGGGAAATTGCAACCCATTTTTACACCCACTACAAACTAAAGATCAAAAAGTTCCTTATTTAGCATTCATCAGATAAATTGGAAGGCGGTTTAAAAACAGCAATTCAAAATTGTCAATTTTAAGAAAGCTCTATAATCTGTTATGGTACATATCAGTCAGATCTCCAGGATTATGAAGTTATTTTTGGAGACAGGGCCAATGTTTCTGATCTTTCTTTGTTTGTGCTAGGTAACAGGGAAAGAAATAAGATAAGCCAATATGAACAAGATAAACACTTAATACTAATTATCGATCTACTAACTTCTGTAAGTACGTAAATCATCTTACCAGCTTCAACTATACTAGAGTTGACATAATCTGAATCATTTTCATTGAAACTCTCTGCCATGCTACCATTCCCATTTGAAGATGAACTGAAACTACATGTCACAGTCTTTGACACACGCTGATTGCGCACTCGAACCCTATGGCTGTTGATGCCTTTAAATCCCCATATTCCACTTCTATGAATCTTTGCCTTCATTAAAGGCCCATCAACTGTAGGAACTGCATGAACCCCACCTTGCTTCCCACGGACAGAAGGGCAAACAACTGGACCTTGCAGAGTACTCATTTCCCCTGTTGTAATAAGCAATACAAATCCAAAGTCATGCAATAAACCAAGAAAAGAGTCCAAGGCTAGACCCTCAGCATCTAAACTTTCTACTTGACCACTGGGTATATCATGTAATTACATGCCAATGAAATTAAAGCGCCAAGATAATTCTGAGATGAAATCAAACATCTTCCAACAATCTAATGAATTGTTACAGTTAACCTGTGATAATCGTGTTAGGATCATATAAAATTCGAGTCTTCTTTGCCTATCTCTATGGGTGCTTTATATATCGATGAATAATATAGGTCAAAAAAGGAAACCAATTATTAGCGTCTGGGATTATGTTATTTGTCGTTTGGAGTTGGAAATTCGAAACCGCAAACCAAAAAAGGAAGAACCAAAACCGACGAATCCACTTTTTTATAAAAGAATTTATCAAATCCCATATTTCGTTTTCAGATTTTACATGTTCGTTCCATCTTAATAACAACCAATAACAACCCTGATCTTAATATCGCCAAAATGTAACATCCACGATCAAAATACAAACAGCTTCAAAATCATCAACCCATTTCAAATACAATCATCATCATCATAATTATAACAAAATTAACATCAACAAATCCAATCACTCACCAGTGGAAGAGTTGAGTAAAAACTAGATGGCTAATCCACCCCCAAATCAAAAAGCGCTCCAATCGAAAACTGGAATTAGAAAGTAAATGGATAAGAATGATGGAACATCAATTCGCCATGGATAAGATGAATCGAAAGATTCAGTCAGAGGAACACAAAAATATCTGGATAAAGGAAAGGAGATAAGAGATTCTTGTTTGAAGATAGAGAGAAGTGGTAGCAGAACGACTTTTAAGGGTTTTCTGTTCATCTCTGACAATTGTATTTTCGAAATTACCAAAATGTCACCTTCAATGGAAAATTAAATTGTAATTATTGACCCATGAACTAAGTTGTACTTTGCAATTTTAGTCCAATTTTATTTAAACTTTTACCTTTCTAATGACAAATAAAATTTTCTTTACAAATTCGTCCATATCCTTAACTTCATCAACTAAGGGGTTGTTTGTTTACCTTTTAGTAGTTCATTAAAAGGCAGTCTCTGAACCGTTAAGCGGTGAATGTTGTTTGGCGAAAAAAAGATTTGTCTTTTAATGATTCTAAAACTTTCTGAATGATTTTGTATCATAAGTCTTCCTTAACTATTCAACGCCTTAATTTCATTGTGAACAATTATATTTCATTTTGCACTATATCATGAGAGCCTCATAATCATTCTGATCATTTGATCATTATGCACCAAATCATTCAACAACTGTCAAACAGCCCCTAAACCCGTCAAAAGTATGTATTTTAGTAACCGAAAGGTTCAGTCAAAACCACATGACAAAAAAGAACATGGGTGTGTTGCATATTAAACTGCAGAATGGTAAAAACAAATAAGAATGCTATTGTATTTATTGATTTTTTAAATAAAGTATAATAATAAATGTATTTTATCATTTAAATTTTTTATTATTTTATATTCTTATTGTTATACCAATTTGTGCATAAAACTTTAGTCATCTGACTTGATATATATCATCAATAATTTTTGTTTCTTATTTTTCATTAAAAGTGGATAATTATTAAAATTGAATAAAAATAATAAAAGAAATATAATTAAGAAATACAATATATGACTAATAAACATTTTATTCAAGTACGTGACCTAAAAGGCATAAAAATGTAGCAACTTTTTAAAATTAGTCAGAAGTATCAAGAACCATGGAAAGGATAGAATAATACTAGGGGGTTTAGATGAGAAAAGATAAAAAAAAAGGGGGTGTTTATGTAATACAAGTAAACCTTAGGGGTGTAGCATACTTATTTTAGACGGTAGCGTGGTGGTTCGAAGGGTATTTTCGACCAGCCATAAATATGGTAATGACGTGGGAACAAAGTTACCTGATAAAACAGGTTTTCTACAGCTGGCGGTTTAAATAAGATTTTGAGTAAATTACAACTTGGTCCCTGGGGTTTATAAAACATATCAATTTTTGTCCCTGCAGTTTTAAAATTATAAGATGACGTTCATGATTTGTAAAATCTTCTAGATTTTGTCCCTCCCTCTGATGATCGTTAAAAATCCCATTAATTGGGGGGTATTTTCATTCTTTAATCAAGTTTTTTTTATCTTTTATCCAATTACACACCACAAGAAACAAAATCATACAATCTATTTTGATTTGATAAAAGACAAAAAAATTGATAAAAAGTCAAAAACGCTTCTTATTTAACGAAATCTTTTAACAACCATCAGAGAAAGAGATCAAATCCGAATGTTTTTATAAACCATAATTATCGTATAATTTTAAACTGTAGGAACATAAAGTGTTATTTTCTATAGATCACAAGTATTACACTTGTAATTTATCTAAGATTTTACTTTAAATTTTGATAAATTACATACGATTTTATATAGAGAAATTAGCTTAAATGACTATTTCTTTTATTTAAATTGGTCTTCCAACCATTTCTTTCTTAGGTTGATTCAAAAGTCACTACAACCAGAATACCCATGTCACAATTGCGGACATAGTCATCGTAAATGCGAACCTTCCCATCACAATTGCATATTTGTGTTGAATTTTTGGTCTTTAACTAGGTCCGAAATATGCGGAAGTAGTGACGTTTGGGTTAGTCCGGGAGAGAAATGGTTAGGAGGCCAATTTGAATGAGAGAAATGGTTATTTAACTCAATGACTCTTATATATATATATATATATATATATATATGTGTGTGTGTGTGTGTGTGTGTGTGTGTGTATAGGCAAATGATCGTGTAAGAAAGAGAGTTAAGACGAGAAACGCAAAAAAAAAAAACTGAGGAACACCTTCATAACTGTTCATCTGAATGGCATGCACATTACAAGTAATTTGTAAGCAATATGTCCAGTATGTACACGTGCATAAAAACCAACTTCATTTACTTATTATATGCACATGTACTTATCATCCAGATAAATGGTTACCAAAGTCTTCCTAAGTTTTTTATTCTGGGATTCTCCCCTAAACCTCCCTCCCTCCTCTCTCTCTTTCCCTCTCTCTCTCTCTCTCTCTCTCTCTCTCTCTTTATATATATATATATATATATATATATATATATAGGGGCACGTTCAAATGAAAACCGTGCATTTATAAGAAATCGTGTAAACTAATTTCGACTAGGGATGAGCATAGGCGGGTACCCTCCCTTTTTGACCGGAACCGGTTAGAGCGTTTCTTAAATTTTTGGAACCGGAACCGGAACCGCCGAGAACCGGTTCCGGTTTCGGGTACCCGCTTCCTAAAATATTAAAATTTTGTTATTTAGAAATAAAAAATAAAACATTGCCAAAACACTAAGTAAATAAGCAAGAATACAAATTATACAGAATAATGATTACAAATATTGATTAATGATCACAAACCATAATATACTAATAGAAAATGTTCAAAGTTTAACGATTACATATTATAATGGTAATTGTTCAAAGTTTAACGATTACAAACTATAAATCCAAGTGAACACAAAATTTGAAAAAATACGAACCATTTTATATGAAGAATTTAGATGAAAAATGAAGATGACGACGTGCTTTTAAGATGTAAACCTAATATAAATTTGGTATTAAAAAATAATAATTATTTTTTTATTGAAAAATACCGGGTACCCAGCGGGTAACGGTTCCGAAAAATTGAGAACCGGAACTGGAACCATTCTCAATCAGTTCCGTATTTTAGGAACCGGAACCATTCATATCGATTCCGGAACCGGCGGTTCCGGTTCCGCTGCTCACCCTTAATTTCGACCAATAGGAAAATTCCATTTTTTTTCTAATTAAATTTAATCAATAAGGGTATTTCGGTCATTTATAATATTTTCAATTAAATATGTAAATTATTAATAAATATTAATTAAGGAAACGTAATAAAGAAAATTTTATAAATGATAACATTTAAATATTTAGTTATATTATAATTTTAAAAATTTGAACTAAATATATTGTGATGCGATTGAATCTGCTGGTGAATCTTGAAGATTGTAAGACATAATGTAATGAATTCATCAAATCATGATGATTGAAAAAAGAAATTAATACAAATGAAACAGGTTTCATGAAAGTGAAACTGGTTCATGTCATAATTGAACAATGAGTAGTGAAACATTTTCATGGTGAACCCGTTTCATTGATGGTGTAGTTGATTCATTTAGTATGTGAAATGGAAAATGAAACGGGTGCATAATGTATTTGGTTCGTCATTAAATAATTGCATGATGAAACGGGTACATGATGAATCTGTTACATAATCTTGAAGATTGTAATATGCTCCAGAATCTTAAAGATTGTAAGCTTAAAAGAATGAATTCATCAAAATCATGGGTGAAATAAGAAAATTAATGTACATGAAATAGGTTTCATGAAGGTGAAACTGGTTCATGACGTAATTGAACCAAGAGCAGTGAAACGGGTGCATAATGTATTTGGTTCGTCATGAAATAATTGCATGATGAAACGGGTACATGATGAATCTTCTCCATAATCTTGAATATTGTAATCTGCTACAGAATCTTTAAGATTGTAAGGATTAAATGAATGAATTCATCAAATCAGGAGCGACATAAACTAATATATGTACATGAAACAAGTTTCGTGAAGGTGAAACTAGTTCATGGCGTAATTGAATAATGAGTAGTGAACTGGTTTGATGGTGAACCCCGTTTCAGTGATGGTGTAGTTGATCCATTTAGTATGTGAAATGCAAAATGAAACGGATGCATAGTGTATGCGGTTTATCATGAAATAATTACATGCTGAAATAGATTCATGATGAAACCGGTGCGTCTTGAAATAATTTCATAATGAATAGGGTGCATATTTACATAGGTGTGTGAAGAATATTAAAACAATTTCAGGATAAGGAATAAAAAAGTTGTTGCATTAACGAAATTGTTTCCTAACAAATAGAAAATTTTAATTTCCTAATATAAGGAGAATAATTCCTTCAATAGGATGTTACAAAATATGTATTTTTGTTTACCATTTTGCCCTTTTTCCTTTAGGAATATTAGGGGAGACCATAGCGTAGTAGAATGAAGGCCTTTTCTTTTTAAAATAACCAATTTTAATGTCCCCGAATATGGGTAATATGTTCTCATACAATGTTGAACCTGCTCCATGATCCGCGTCATTGCTGATATAAAAATAAAATTTTAATATATATATTTTTTTAATTTCCTAAAATAAAGTAAACTAATCTTGGCCAATTGATTAAGAAAATGGATGGATGAGATTGGTTTACACGGTTTACACAAATGGAGGCGGCGGTTTTCATTTGAATGCTCCTCTCTCTCTCTCTCTATATATTATACACACACACACACACATATATATATATATATATATTGAGTTCCAGTGAGAAAGAGAGTTAAGATGATAAGCGTAAGAAAAAATCTTTTACCCTTGATGCACATTAGGATGAGATGCACCAAATCGATCTCTGTATCAAACATGATTCATGAGTGAGTTTGAAATTAAAGGTGACCAAGAGTCCAGATCCCTTCTTACGTTTCTCATCTTAACTCTTCTTCTCACACAATTCTTTGTACACACATATACATATATATATATATATATAGAGAGAGAGAGAGAGAGAGAGAGAGAGAGAGGGAGGGAGTTTAGCTCATTTGTTAACCCAAAAAAATGTATTAACTTTTTGAACTTTTTAGACCAATCACAATTCATTTTAGTATGAGGTTCAACTCTATCCAAAAAATTAATGTTAAAGGTATGTGTGTAATTTTCTATTTATA